TTACCGATGTACATGTAGCATGGTCTTTACCGATTGAACATTGCTATTTGTACACTGATTTTTAACACGTTATTTAACACTTCCATTGTTGTCAAGTGTCAATTAGATGGAAAACTGTTGGAAATTTAAACTGTCTAACAGGGTATTGTTACGTGGCAAAGTCTAAACTAAAGTGTACACCATAGTGTACATGTAACAAGGTTCTTACCGATTAAACATTGCCATTTGTACGCTGATTTTTGACATGTTGTTTACACTTACATTGTTGTCACGTGTCAATTGGATGGGAAAACTGTTCAAAATTTAAACTGTTCAACAGGGTAATATCACATGGCAAAGAGTAAACTAAAGTGTACACCATAGTGTACATGTAGCAAGGTTCTTACCGATTGAACTTTGCTATTTTTACATTAATTTTTGACACATTGTTTGACACTTGCATTGTTGTCAAGTGTCAATTGGATGGGGGAAATTGTTTGAAATTTGTAATGTCTAATAGGGTAATGTCACGTGGCAAAGTGTAAACTGAAGTGTACACTATAGTGTACCTGTAGCAAGGTCCTTACGAATCAAACTTTTCTATTTGTACACTGATTTTTGACACGTTGTTTAATACTTGCAATGTTGTCAAGTGTCAAGTGGATGGGAAATCAAATTGAAATTTAAACTGTCCAATCGGGTATTCTCACATTGCAAAGTGTAAACTAAAGTGTACACCATAGTGTACAGGTAAGAAAGTTCTTACCGATTGAACATTGCTATTTGTACACTGATTTTTGATACATTGCTTGACACTTATATTATTGTCAAGTGTCACTTGGATGGAAAAACTATTTGAAATTTAAACTGTCCAACAGGATAATATCACGTGGCAATGTTCAAACTAAAGTGTACACTATAGTGTACATGTAGCAAGGTTCTTACCGGTTGAACTTTGCTACTTGTACACTGATTTTTGACACGTTGTTTGACATTTGCATTGTTGATGAGTGTCAATTGGATGGGAAATCTGTTTGAAATTTTAACTGTCCAACAGAGTAATGTCAAGTGGAAAAGTGTAAACGAAAGTGTACACCATAGTGTACATGTAGCAAGGTTCTTACCTATTGAACTTTGCTATTTGCACAGTGATTTTTGACACGTTCTTTAACACTTGCATTGTTATCAAGTGTCAATTTGATGTGAAAACTGTTAGAAATTTATTCTATCCAAAGAGTAATGTCACGTGACAAAGTTTTAACTAAAGTGTACACCATAGTGTGCATGTAGCAAGGTTTTTACCAGTTGAACTTTGCTATTTTTACACTAATTTTTGACACGTTGTTTGACACTTGCATTGTTGTCAAGTGCCAATTGGATGGGAAAACTATTTGAAATTTCAACTGTCCAACCGGGCATTCTTACGTGGCAAAGTGTAAACTAAAATGTACACCATAGTGTATATGTAACAAAGTTATTACAGTTTGAACATTGCTATTTTGTACACTCATTTTTGACACATTGTTTAACACTTGCATTATTGTCAAGAGTCACTTGGATGGAAAAACTATTTGAAATTAAAACTGTCCAACAGGGTAATGTCACACGGTAAAGTGTAAACTAAAGTGTACACCATAGTGTACATGTAGCAAGGTTCTTACCGATTGAACTTTGCTATTTGCACACTGATTTTTGACACGTTCTTTGACACTTGCGTTGTTGTCAAGTGTCAATTGAATGGGAAAACTGTTTGAAATTCAACCTGTCCATAGGGTAATGTCACGTGGGAAAGTTTAAACTAAAGTGTACACCATAGTGTACTTGTAGCAAGGTTCTTATCGGTTGAACTTTGTTATTTGTACACTGACTTTTGGCACATTGTTTGACACTTGCATTGTTTTCAAGTTTCAATTTGATGGGAAAACTATTTGAAATTTAAACTGTCCAAAGGGTAATGTCATGTGGCAAAGTTTAAACTAAAGTGTACACCATAGTATACGTGTAGCAACGTTCTTATCAATTAAACTTTGCTATTCGTACACTGATTTTTGACACATTGTTTGACACTTGCATTGTTCTCAAGTGTCAATTAGATGGGAAACCCACGTGAAATTTAAACTGTCCACCAGGGTAATGTCACGTAGCAAAGTGTAGACTAAAGTATTCACCATAGTGTACACGTAGCATGGTTCATACTGATTAGAGTGTAAAATACCATATTTTCCCCTCTTAATTATGACATTCATGTGATTATATTATGCCAAAATGCACTCATTCCTTTTATGTTTTGGTTTAGGTTGTATTTTGGTGAAAACAGTGAAATTTGGAAGAAACAAATGAAAAAGGACCAAAGTGAGAAAATGTGAAAGTTCAGGGATCGAGTTGTAAATAATTCATAGATGAGACGGGTGATGGAATGATGATTTGAGAAATTTAGAAGTCCATTGGTGCAATTAGAAGTCAAAAGAAGTTAAATATGCCTATAATATTTTCACAAATCAAATTCCAACCGAATATAAGGATTTTCAGATTTTGAGCCGAATATTGAGATCAACGTTTGACCTAGTAAACGTCCGAATTTGGAAAGAGCTATTTCTATCAAGATTGTAGTACTTCGAGTTCTCTTTCCAATGAATCACCTCAATTGGACATCAAGAGAGGAAGTTATGACCAAAATACTAAAAGCAGATGCACAAAAAATTCTGGCCGAAAATTTACTTTCCTTATTCGTTTCAACCTCGTGTGGAAATGCGTTTTGCACACGGTTTTAACCCCAAAACGTCCCAGAACGCCTCCATTCATTCTGGATCACTTTTCTCTCATCCTTGACACAAGAAACTCGATGAAGAACTAAAATCTTTGGTAAAACCACGAAGGAACTCATTGGATTAGGAGATTTCACGTCATAATTTCATGTAATTCGAAGTTTCTTTGCTTAATAATTTTTAGATTTGGATTTTCTCGTTATGAATTAGTATTGAAATTTGTTTAACTTTTAATAAATTTGTCATGGATTCAGTCATGCTTTTTCCATTGTTAAATTAAACTATTTGTTGAGTTTCAATTTAAATTACTTATTGTTGAGATTATTTTAACTTTTATCATAACCTTCGTAGATCTAACCATGCTCTTTCTATCGAATGATTGAAATAATAGTTGAATTTTAATCTTAATATCACTTTATTGGCGGATTGATTACTGCTTTATGCCTGACGTAAATGGTCGATCTTTGATCTTGTTCCAATAAAAATGTGCGAATGTGCTATAGAAAATCTAGATTCTAGAAATATAATTGGAATAAAATTGGACTTCATTGTTAAATCTTCCAATTAGAAAGTTGGGAAGAAAATTCTAATTGAGTAAAAATACATGAATTATTAATGTTGATTGATCCAATCCAATGGGAGAACTCTAACGCTTCACTAATTTTTCATATTGATAATTAATTTTTATTCCAAGTGACAAATCATTCCCATATTTAATTACGAAAACCCTAGTTTGTTTGATCCTTTGAGAAATTTTCCATCTCCCTGTGGATACGACACCCCAAAGCTATACTACAATCACCGCGTTATTCTTTGGGTGTAATCAAATTTTGGTGCCATTGTCAGGGAGACGGTAGAAATAATTTAAGGATTCTTGAGCAAAAGGGTGACTTTGTTCCTCTTTTACATTTTTTTAGTTAGTTTAATTTTATTAGTTTTTATTCTGTTATTTTTCACAAAATTCCATATTTTTTTGGTGCTTTATGAACAGAGATCGAGACGAGCGGGGACGATTCATTGCAAGGCCGCAACCAGCCTTTGAATCTCTTCCTAACCCTCTCTTTGATACTGAATCTATGGGCACACACATCACATCACATAACTGATAATGAACACGAAGAGGCACCAACTAGGACTTTGCAAGATTAACTTCACTCCACACGCACATCTACACCATCGTGCATTATATTTCCACCTAATATGCCACGTATGGACCTTAAACTAGGAATGATTCAACTTCTTCCCACCTTTCACAATCTTGAAAATGAAAACTCATACGTGCATATTAGGAAATTTGAAGAGGTGGTTGCAACTTTCCACAATCAACGTGGTACAATGGATGCAGTCAGGCTTAAATTTTTTTCATTTTCTCTTAAAGAAATAGCTAAGAGCTGGTTGTATTCATTGCGACCACGTTTGATTGGGACTCGGGCTAAAATGACTCAAGCATTCTTTGGCAAGTACTTTCCCCACCACAAAAAAACTGTATTGAAAAAGCAAATCTCATCTTTCACTCAAAAGGATAGTGAAACTTTATATCAAGCGTGGGAAAGGTACAAAGAATTGCAAGCCCTCTGCCCCCACCATGGTTATGAAAGTTGGCACATTGTGAGTTATTTTTATGAGGGATTATTACCTAGGGAGCGTTAATTTATTGAAATGATGTGTAATGGTGAATTTTTGCAAAAAGATCCGGATGAGGCTATAGACTACTTAGATGACTTAGCTGAGAAAGCCCATACCTGGACTAGACCTAGGGTCACCGAGAGTACTAATAGGTTATGATCCACTGGAAACCCGAATAGCACAGGTATTTATCATCTTAAGGAGGAAGATAACCTTAGAGCAAAGGTAGAAGCCCTTACTAGAGAACTTGAAAACCTGTGTGCTAAGGATTCAAAAACCACTCGATCTGTTTCTCGTGTTGAGCCTTTAGAGCCTTGTTTTGTGTGTGGAGGGAGTGATCATCCAAGACAAGAGTGTGCTACTTATGCTGAGATGAGGGGACTTTATGAGGAACACTGTAATGCTTTAGGCATATATCAAAAGTCCTACACCCCTTACTCCGAGGCCTATAACCCAGGATGGCGGAATCTTCCCAACTTTAGCTGGAAGTCTGAGAACCAACAACATGCCCAACAAACTTGAGCTTACAATGCACCCTCACATCAACCCATGTCCTCTAGAAATTCCTTAGAAGACACCCTACATGCATTCATCGAGGCACAAGGCAAAATGAATAAAAAATTTGAGACTATGATTGCCCAGGTAGTCAAGGAAAACAAAGAGATAAAGAATCATATGTCTAAATTAACCAATGCCTTAGCTGTAGATGAACGTGGGAAGTTTCCAGCCCAAGCTCAGCCAAACCCAAAAGGACAACACATGGCACAAACCTCAAGATCTGAAGAAACAAATTTTAAGGAGGCAAATGCCATAACCACTAGATCAAGAAAGGTTGTAGAACAAAGCCCTCCACCTACAGATAACAGAAAAGAGCCAAGTAAGTCTAATGAGAACAGTCCTATTGAGGAAGTTGTGGAAAACCTAGCTAGAATACATTTCCCTCAAGCTCTCAAGTTAGCTTCGAAATCAACATGTCAGCATAATGAAATCCTAGAACACCTCAGACAAGTCAAAATCAATTTGCCTCTCTTGCATGTGATCTCCCAAGTTCCTACATATGCTAAAGTCCTTAAAGACTTATGTACTTTAAAGAGGAAACATCATGTTAAGAAAATTGCTTTTGTGACCGAGCAAGTGAGTGATGTGATAGAACAAAGGATCCCACCAAAGTATAAGGACCCTGGTTGTCCTACCATTTCTTGTGTCATTGGAAACCGTGAGTTTGCACAAGCCCTTCTTGATTTAGGAGCTAGTGTCAACCTCATGCCCTATGCTATAAGTGTTCCTAGGTCCGGGAGAGATGAAACCCACCTCAGTGGTACTATAGTTAGCTGACCGATCCACCATAAGACCAAGGGGAGTAGTTGAGGATATGTTAGTTCAAGTTGATAAATTTTACTATCCCGTTGATTTCTTAGTACTAGATGTGAAGGTTGAGGTGGATGTTAACTCTAAAATCCCTATTATACTTGGTAGACCTTTCCTTCCTACAGTTATTGCTCTTATCAATTGTAGGAATGGTCTGATGAAGTTGACATTTGGAAATATAACTCTAGAAGTCAATATTTTCCATATCACCAAACAACCTATGGAAGAAGATGAATGCCATCAAACCTATATGATTGATACACTGACTAAGGAGGAAGCACCGACAACAATTGATTCTGACCCTTTGAACTCTTTTATCTTAAATACTAAAATTTTATGTGGTTTTGATGTTAATGAGTATGCTAACATTTGTGCTGTTTTTGCAAAATTGCAAGACCACAGGACTTCACCATGGTAACCCAAGTTTGAAGAATTGCCGGAAAGGACTGGAGGAATGAAGCCATCAAGTATTGAAAGCCCTAAGCCAGAATTGAAAAAACTTCCTACAGGACTAAAACATGTGTTCCTTGGACCAGGTGATACCTTTCCTGTCATTATCTCATCAAAAATGGATTCATTACAATGTAAACAACTTTTAAACATTCTGAATGAACACAAATCTACATTAGGGTGGACCATAGCCGACATCAAAGGTATTGGTCCTTTAATTTATTCCCATAGGATTTATCTGGAGGAAGGGGCTAATCCTAGGAGAGACACACAACATAGGCTAAACCCCACAATGAAGGAAGTGGTAAAGAATGTGGTACTTAAATTGCTAGACGTAGAAATCATTTACCCAATTGCAGATAGTAAATGGGTTAGCCCTACACAGGTAGTCCCCAAGAAGTCAGGTGTCACTATAGTAAAAAATGAATTAGGCAAATTAGTCCCTACAAAAATCCCTACAAAAACGGTAACTGGTTGGTGCATGTGCATTGATTATAGGAAATTAAATGCTGCCACTCACAAGGACCATTTTCCCTTCCCTTTTTGGACCAAATACTTGAACATGTGGCTGGTCATCTCTTTTACTATTTTCTAGATGGCCATTCAGGATACTATCAAATTGAGATTGCTTTAGAAGACCAGGAAAAAACCACATTCACGTGTCCTTTTGGTACCTATACATTTCGTAGAATGCCATTTGGACTTTGCAATGCCCCTACCACATTTCAAAGATGCATGATGAGTATGTTTAGTGATATGGTAGAGGATTGCATGGAAGTTTTTATGGATGACTTGACTATTTTTGGGACCTCCTTTGATGCATGTTTGTTAAATTTGAAAAGAGTCTTGGCTAGATGTGAAGAAAAAGGCTTAGTTTTAAATTGTGAAAAATGTCATTTCATGGTGTCTTCTGGTATTGTCTTAGGGCATGTTATTTCTTCAAGAGGGATAGAAGTAGATAAGTCAAAAATTGAATTGATCTCTAAATTGCCTACACCCAAGACAATAAATGGCATTAGATCATTTCTTGGTCATGCAGGTTTTTATAGGAGGTTTATACGAAATTTCTCATCCATACCTAGACCGCTATGTAACTTGCTAAACAAGGACGTGACTTTTGAATGGACACCTGAATGTCAAAATGTATTTGAATTGTTGATTGGTAAACTTACCTCTGCAGCCATAATGTAACCACCTGATTGGACATTGCCATTTGAAATTATGTGTGATGCTAGTGACTTAGCAGTAGGTGCTGTCTCAGGGCAACAAAAAGAAGTTAAGCCTTTTGTGATTTACTACTCTAGTAGAACTCTAAATATGCTCAAATAAATTATTCTAGAACTGAAAAAGAATTACTAGAGGTAGTCTGCACTTGATAAGTTTCGATCCTATTTGATTGGCTTTCCCATTACTATTTTCACAGATCATGCAGCTCTTAAGCACCTTCTTGCAAAGAAGAATGCTAAGGCAAGACTAATACATTGGATCTTACTTTTTCAGGAATTTGACATCATTATCAAAGATAAGAAGGGAGTGGAAAATGTTGCAGCAGACCATCTGTCAATGAATTTCTTGATGAAAATTTATTTACTATCTCTTCTCTACCAGGGTTTGCTAATATTGTGAATTACTTGGCTACAGGTAAAATCCCAAATAGTACACAGGATAAGAGAAAACTCTTAGTTTATGTACATAACTTTTATTGGGATACCCCTGTTTATTTAAGTATCGCCTCGACCAAATATTGAGACGATGTGTTTTTGATGAGGAGATACTCAATATACTAGATTTTTGCCATTCCCAAGCTTGTGGGGGCCACTTTTCTATGAAAAAGACTGCTGCAAAAAGTTTGCAGTGTGATTTTTATTAGCCCACCTTGTTTAAAGACACTAATGCCTATTGTAGATCCTGTGGGAGATGTCAAAGACTAGGTGCTATTTCTCGCCGTAATATGATGCATTTGAATCCCATTTTGGTGGTTGAAGTGTTTGATTGTTGTGGCATTGACTTTATGGGACCCTTTCCACCCTCTTTTGGCTATTTATACATCATTGTGATTGTAGACTACGTATCTAAGTGGGTAGAGGTGATTGCTTGTAGAGCCAATGACGGTTGTTAAATTCCTTAAAGAAAATGTTTTGTCTTGATTTGGTACACCACGTGTTATCATTAGTGATAGAGGCACACACTCTTGTAACCGTTCATTTGATGCACTAATGAAAAAGTATGGGGTGATTTATAAAATTTCCACTTCTTATCACCCACAAACTAGCGGACAATTAGAATTGGCTAATAGGGAAATTAAACAAATTTTGGAAAAGACGGTGAATCTTAATCGTAAGGATTGGTCGTTGAGACTGAATAATGCACTTTGGGCTTACCGTACAGCTTTTAAGACTTCCCTAAGCATGTCACCTTATAGACTAATCTTTGAAAAGCCTTGCCATTTACCTGTTGAACTTGAGCACCGAGTATTTTGGGCCATTAAACACTTCAACTTTGATCTAGAAGAGGGAGGTAGACATAAGAAATTTCAATTGGGTGAGTTAGAGGAGTTAAGAAATGATGCCTATGAAAGTTCTAGAATCTACAAGTCAAAAATGAAAGCATTTCACGATAAAAACATTGTGAGAAAAACTTTTAAACCAAATCAGAAAGTGTACTTATATGATTCTAGACTTCACAAGCACTTGGGAAAACTCTGCTCTAGGTGGACTGGTCCCTTTGTCGTAGCACAAGCTTTTGAGAATGGATCGGTTGAAATTGAAGACCCTAATGATGGTAAGGTATTCAAAGTGAATGGACAGAGACTCAAAATACTCTATGGGCAACAGGTGCCTGCATTGGAAGAAATTTTTCTTGCAGACCCGGTTTACCACCCATGACACACTTCAAGTACATTTTTCAATTTGTGTTTCTGTATATTAGTTTTAGATTTCTTTTTTCGTGTGTTTTGCATTTTTTTTTACTTTATTTTCATTTTTTTGTATCACCCTTTCCATTGGAGACTTTCAAGCTTCCTATACTTTAGCTCATGTGATTCACTTCTACACTTATGTGACATCTTTCCTTACCTTTATTTGGCAGACATGTTTTTGCATTGAGGACAATGCAATGTTTAGTTGGGGGGAGAGTTTAACTTAAATTTTGTTGTGAATTGCATTTTTTTCGTGGAATTTTGGCCTTTTCTTTTAAGTCCGTAATGCCCTACATGTTCTTGAATGACAATATATGCCACTAGGAATTAATATTGTTTATGAAAGTTTGGATATTGAGACATTTACTGAATCCTTTTGTGCACACAAGCCTTGTGGTAAGATGGAAGTGTAACACATGTAGCTAGAGGAGTCTCTCATTGAAGTTTTCTTATGTGAGAATTGGTGAGGATTGAAAGCCACAATATACTAAAAATGTAATAAGCGTTCATTGATTGTGTGAATTAGGAACTTGGCCAGTTCCTCCTCGTCCAGACGCCAAGTTCCCCTCTCCCCTTCCGGTTGAATGAAGGAGATCTTCGGGTCTTTTTAGAATAAAATTACACGGTATGTGGTATGATGGTTGATTATACTTGGAAAATGATAGCAGTCAATTTATGATTGAATTTGAGCCTTCAGACTGGTTCCTTTCCATAATTATAATCCCCTAGTAGCCACTTTGAGCCAAGATACATATGTAACCGTTTCTCTTCATGCGCTTATGTTATCCATAACTTCTTATGTTGGATTAAAGTCTATAAATAGTCATTTTCTACCTTTATACTTCCAAGTGTATAGTAGGTGTTAAATGTCCATTTGAGGAGAAAAGTAACGAGGAAAGTGATAAGAGTTGATAAGTGCTCGGGTGAGGAGGAAAAAAACACAAAAGGAAAGGGAATTTCAAAAAAGAAAAAAGAAAAAAGAAAAGAAATGAAAAAAAAAAAACAATGAAAGAAAAGGGATGGATTGTTGTTGGGAATTGAAAGGTTGAGGAATACGTTGATGTAAAGGATTGATATGTTGAAATACTTGTTGAGATGCCTAGCTAGATACTTGGAAGTCCTTAAATTCTTTTCGCCCTACCTTTCATATGACCAAACTTAACCCTTTTAACACCCTTTACATTGGCTGTTTTGATGTCAAGTATGTTTGTGGTAAGAAGTTAATGGATTCTCATTTGAAAGTATGCCTATCCTGTGATCAATATTTGCTTGTTGCTTGTTCATAAATATTTAAGCCTCCATGCTCTGAGTGTACATCTTTCTCAGCTCCATAGAGAGAAACCCCGCACTAAACACTTTAATACCCATGAGTTATGGGGCGGGACCTTTAGTTAGAGACACACTCGATGTTGCATGTGTTAGGGTTGGCGGTAAGATGGCTATGGCTAGACACACACACACATTTACCAAATATTTTTGACATCTTGACAATCATAACATTGTTAATTTCTTATGGTGTTGAGTTTGAAAAGATAATGAACTGCAGTTGAATTAGAACTCAACAACTTCACTTGTAATTTGGATTAGTCACTCATTTGTTTTGTTTTACATTGAATTGCTAGGGACTAGTAATAGGCAAATTGGAGGGGTGATAAGAGTGTAAAATACCATATTTTCCCCTCTTAATTATTGCATTCATGTGATTATATTATGCCAAAATGTACTCATTACTCTTTTGTTTTGGTTTAGGCTGTATTTTGGTGAAAACAATGAAATTTGGAAGAAACAATTGAAAAAGGACGAAAGCGAAAAGAAGCGAAAGTTCAGGGACCAAGTTACAAATAATTCATAGATGAGACGGGCGATGGAATGATGATTTGTGAAATTTAGGAGTCCCTTGGTGCAATTAGAAGTTAAAAGAAGTTAAATATGCCTATAATATTTTCACAAATCAAATTCCAACCGGATATAAGGATTTTCAGATTTTGAGCCGAGGATTGAGATCAACGTTTGACCTAGTAAACGTCCGAATTTGGAAAGAGATATTTCTA